TATGTCGTGCGCGTAATTATTGTGTAAGGAAGATGCCTTTTACTAGCACACACTGTGCTAATCTAGGTGCTGTGGAGGAAAACAGAGAAACCAGCAAAGACACAGAGGCAGAAACACTCCAAAGTTTGCTATCAAAAGTGTAACTACAAGCAGATTAGCTAATGCTAGAGGGTAGCTGGCTCACGATCAAGCAGGTTCTGAAAAAGCATGATGGTTGTGAAACTAAGATTATTTAAACTCTACAATTGGAAGAAAATTCCCATCATCATTCTGTTCCTTAACCTGTCTGCAGCGCTACGGAGAAGATCTGGCGCCGCTGCAGACAGGCAAGGCTGGAGTAACCGTATGGGCAACTGGGCAATTGCCCAGGGGCCCACGGATTCTAAAGGGTCCACGCCCAGGGCAGCAAGGGCACGAACAAAATAGATATGTTGTTTTGACTAGGATGAGTCTTATTAGTACAAACCTAAATTGTCAAAGAAATGTTGTCAAATTTTCCATGAAATATTTCTTAACTCTTAATTTCAGATGGAAAAGAGGGAACTAGACAACACCAGTTTAATACATGTTATTGAGCCTTTTATAATTTTGCTTTTTTTTCATACTTTTAGCAGCAGACCACAGTCTTGTTTCACTTGAAACGTAGTCAAATAGAATATTTGATTACTCGACAGACGACTTTATAGAATATTTGAACACTAAAATATTCTATAGCTAAAATTACAACTTTTTATCTTCTATTTGACCCCAACCAGCTCTCTATAGTGCTAAGCATTGTTCTTCTGTACAGTTCCAATCCTAAGTGTCGGCACCCCTAAAAACCACTTTATTCATCTGTACTTACTTCCCGCTTGGACTGGATGCATGTCTGTTTCATGAAGTGATTGGTACTGCTGTTAGAGAACACGACTATATATATGCATGCACATGTTATGTATGACATATGTGAAGAGCATTTTAAGTTTTATGGCAATAATGCTCCAGAAAAACATGTTTTACCCTACCTATTAACTAGTTTGTGTTGGCGTGATTTAGACCCAATGTTAAATAAATATGTATTTGATTGTCATCCTAAATATACTTTATGTTATGAAATTAATCTGTAGCCCATGGAAGGTCGATTGTGATAAAAGTAATACTATTTATAATAATATAACCAATACTATTGATACTTTTCTCTAATTAATAGCTCAACTCTGCCTCCTGTGTATATGAATGTGCATCTACAGTCTTTAAATGCCAATCAAGAGCTGTAAAAAATAGGTTGTTGTTCCAAAACAAAGTCTCCTGATGACCAGCATTTATCTGAAGATATTATATAATTTAGTGCTCTGGGTATCACTTGACCTTTATTTGATGATTACAGAGTTCTTGATTGGCTATCACTGGAAGAGGAGAAACAAATGCATCATATTTCCCAACTCAGTAATTGTGTTAAAAAACATGAATATATATTTTGTGATTTCTGAACAAAGATACACTCAGTTTAAAACCCTGATGGGAAACTGTGCAAGTAAATATAAGTAAATATGGTTAAATTTCTTCCTTGTGAGGCGTGATTTCCTTCTGGCCCTACATTAATAATGAGTCACTTCCAAGCTGTCTGGGGGCCCTAATAAAATCTAAAGGGATGTTATTTAAGTCCATAACCCTGTTGCTGAAGATTAAAGGAGTTTATTTATGTAAACTCATTTAGAAGTGACATATTGACAAAGATTAGACTAATATGAAGTAGGAGGGACCAAGATGTTCGTCTTCCTCCTGCACTAATGGTCGTTGTCTCCCTCCGTCTGCTCCGAGTCGCTCGGAGAGTGCCATTAGGATTCACAGGGAGTCGCTCCAGCTAAATATTGTGCAGGCTTCATTTAGCATAAATGAAAGCGTGACTCACTGTAAACTCATAGGGCTACTGAATCACGTCACGGCCCCAGTCATTTAATCTGAACAGCACCAGTTCTGCAACTGAAGTCTCCAGACCCATTAGCACCATCATGATAATTGGTACTGTGTGATTTCAGAGGCAGGCAGACAGGAACTGACTCTCTGAGACTCATTAAACAGCTGATTGTTGTTGACACATGAGCAGAAGTCATGGTCTTTCCTGGAGCTTTGGTATAAGCAACTCAGACTGCATGATGGGAAAATGCTTTTCTTTCTTCAAGCTGTGGTGAATACTTGGTCAGTCAACATGACAAGACCTTGAGGTTTAGTTTTTGTTCAGCTGAAACAGTCAAGGGTTGTTTGCCATTGCACTCGTATTTTCTAACAGCCACCTGTTCTAATCATCTTTAGTTGGCGAAAATATTTAGTAATTTAATAAATGATTACACACTAATTATTTTGGTGTAAGTTCATAAGTTCCACTTCCTCGGAGGCCATGTTTGTCTCATTATCTTTTAGACAATTTGATTTTTGTTGATGGGATTTTTTAGCCTTGTAATCACTTTTTGAACCTGCCAGATGCTGACAAAGGCCTCTCCTGTAATAAAGATGAATTTGTTGCAGTAAAACAGATGAATGTTGATGATCTCCTCAGCAGAAACTCTGTCCTAGGTCTGTTCTCAGCTCAGAGACTTTCAGCCCGAGTTCAGCCAAGTTTTCTTAATCAAACATTAAGCAGTGGGGTCCCAGCAACCCACCAGCTGTTCTATTTTTCTTGAAGATGACCTGGCTTTGCTTCATGCTCCTCTGCCTCAGCAGAAATTACTTTTTTTTTCTTCCATCATTCTATATCTTCCCCCGGTGAGTGCTCAGCCACAACACTCCTGCTGCCCTTTGAAGCATTTCTTGACCTTTTAGTCAGGACAGATCTCCTCCTGATGAGAACATTAGGCTCTGATCAGAGATGAAAGGCCTCTAAAAGGTTTAAACTGCAGCTCTCAGTCTGAAGGCGGGAGCTTTGACGCTAGTAACTGAAAATGGCTCTTGTGTACAGAAAATCTGAACCTATAAATAATTGTGCTGAAAGGTCCACTTTATGTCAAACTCTTATTGTGTAGAATCAAATTATTTCGTTTTATCTGTGAGGGAGGTTTTAGAGGGTTTAATTCTGTTAAAGCAGGTAACAACAAAAATAAAAACATAAATGTCCTAAATGAAATTTTGGACAGTTTGAGAAGCCAAATCATCCTGCAGTCCCTGCAGGTAGATTGGTTCTGGATGACCGTCGGGTATACTGGGGCCTGGTTGCTTCAGGAACTGTAATGCTTCATTCCTCAGGCTTTAACCCCAGTCCAGGATTTTCAGAGTAAACTGGCTGACAGCTAAAACTTTGAATTTGAACTATAAAAATATGAGATTTGAAGGTCGAATTAAAAGTTGTCGCCTGTGGTTTGGTCCCATCCTGACTGTTTTTGTTCTTCTAACGTAGTTTGATGTTCAGATGAACCAGGAGCCGAGAGCTGTTTGCTGACTCAGTGATCTGTGAGAGAGCACTGGTCTTATACACGATTTATAATGTACAGAGTCAAGGTCAGAGATGATACTGTTATTGTCTGAAAATGGAAAACTACAGAGTGCACTTTTACCAGCAACCTGATGAGTTAAACCGGCAGCACTTAGACGTTAGTGGGCAGGAGTTCTGCTTTGGTCAGAGGGCAGCTTTTACCGGGCTGGTGCGCATCTGCTGGAATCGGGAAGTTAATCTCTGCATACGGTCTTCAGAATTGGATGAATTTAGTTGGTTCTAATCTGAGAAGCCCATTTTATAACCTCAGCCAGAGCCAACAGGTAATCTGTCCATGAAAAACAGTGAACTAACTTTTAGAACTAATTTCAGGTTATTTGATGCTGTTTTATTGCTCAAGTTGCATTTCTAACAAACTTTTTTTGTTTGTTTTCTGGTGTAAATACAGTTTGTTTAATGGAAATCTATCCATTAAGTTTCATCTACTTATCTGGGGTTGGGTCATGGGGGCAGAAGCCTAAAGGGGGCCCAGTCTTCCCTGTCCCCAGCCACTTTGTGCCATATCAAAAAAAGTCATTATTTTTATTTAAACATTTTTGAAGTGGAAGGGAAACAAAACATCATTTGTCAGTGTCACGTTGAGTGGAGTGGAGATGATGGAGCGTGTGTGGAAGAGCTGACCAGGAGGTAAAAATGCAGGCTTCAGAAAAATAAAAATGGTTTTAATGGTTGGATCGGAACGACAGGAACAAAACGTTGACTACAAACAACAATGACCTGACAAAGACTGGCACAAGGAGGGAGGTATAAATACACAGGGAAATCAGGAACACATGGGCAGGTTAACGAGGGGCAGGTGAGAACAATAAGGGCTAATCAGGGCAGGAGAGAGACACCGTCAGGAAGGCAGGGGCAGAACATGACAGTCAGTGGGTGGTATTCTTCAGTAACCTGAAAACAGAAGCTTTTCAGGAAGATGGACACTGATATTGGGATTTCTTGGGACTGTCTTTGTTTGTCATTCAGCTGAAGCTGCTGATGACTCATCAAACCAGGAAGTCAATCAGAACATTTATAGTTTGGGTTTCTAGCATGCTAGGTTTGGGTGTACATTTGGGTTTATCTATCTTATGTACAGGATGCAAACATTGAATAAAAGTTCAACATGGAGAAAAGTGACCTCAACACCATTCAGGGATCAGGGCTGTTCATTTATGAGCCTTTAGGGCCGATATCCAGCACGTTTTGGTTGTAACTTGCTTCAACACACCTGATTTCAATCAGCAGGTGATTAACAGGCTTATGCAGAGCCTGATGAGCTGCTGCACATGTGATTCAACCACTGAATGAAGTGTGTTGGACCAGAGAAACCAAGACTTGCTGCATACTGGCCCTTGAGGTCTGGGTTTGAATAGCCCTAATGTAGATGAATGATTCTGATGCTCAGCTCTGATAAACAAAACAGAAAGTTATGGCAGATTTTTTGCCTTTGGCATTGAAATCAGTTTACCTAAACACAACTTCTTTATGTGTAGCAATATCCTCTAATGGTATATTTCCTCTGTCTCTCCCTCTCACCTTATTCTCCCCTCAGCCTGTGAGCTGATGAACCAGGGCATCTTGGCCTTGGTCACCTCCACTGGTTGCGCCTCAGCAAGCGCTCTTCAGTCCCTGACCGACGCCATGCACATCCCTCACTTGTACATCCAGAGGAATGGTGATGGGTCTCCCAGGACTGCCTGCCAGTTCAATCCGAGTGTGGGGGGACAGCGCTACACATTGGCTGCTCGCCCACCTGTACGTCTTAACGAGGTCATGCTGACACTGGTGGAGGAGCTACGCTGGCAGAAGTTCATCGTCTTCTACGACATTGAGTATGGTAAGAGGCTGATGTGGTTTCAGCAACTCTGATGAATCAAATAGTACCCTGTAACTTTTCACCACACTGAAGGATTTTTTTTTTTTGCTTTGCTTTTGTTGGATGTTTGGAAATCTTCTAACATCTTTATGAGGTGATGAGAAGTTAATCCTAGAACCTTCATGTTGGTACAGATCTGTGGTTTACAGGTAAAACTCCAAAAGTGACATATCGTCCAAAGTTCATTTAATCAACATAAAAGTGAAACTAACATATGAGATGGACGCATTCCCTTCAAAGCCAGATATTTCAGCCTTTATTTATTATAATTGTGATGATCCTTGAACCGTCACCTTATCGTGGTGGAGGAGTTTGAGTGCCCTAATGATCCTAGGAGCTATGATGTCTGGGGCACTTTGTGCCCCTGGTAGGGTCTCCCATGACAAATTGGTCTTAGGTGAAGGGTGAGACAAAGAACGTTTCAGATGATCTTTCATGAGTCGGAGTACCAGGCCAGGAGGGTTACCGGGGTCCCACCCTGGAGCCAGGCCTGGGGTTGGGGCCCGTGAGCGAGCGCCTGGTGGCCGGGCTTTCGCCCATGGGGCCCAGCCCGAACCGGATACATGGGCTCATCCAACTGTGGACCCACCACCCGCAGGAGGAACATGAAGGGTTCGTTAAAGTGTGGATCGGGTGGCAGACCAAGGCGGGAGCCTTGGCGGTCTGATCCCCGGACAACGAAACTGGTTTTTGGGACATGGAACGTCACCTCGTTGGCGGGGAAGAAGCAGGAGCTTGTGGCAGAGGTTGAGTGGTACCGGCTAGATGTAGTCGGACTCACCTTGACACATAGTGTTGGCTCTGGAACCCAAGTCCTTGAGAGGGGTTGGACACTCTCCTTTGCTGGAGTTGCTCCGGGTGAGAGGCGGAGGGCTGGGGCTGGCTTTTTGTTAGCCCCAAAACTCTCTGCCTGTGTGTTGGGGTTTACCCCGGGGGACGAGAGGGTAGCTTCCCTGTGCCTTTGGGTTGGGGAAAGGGTCCTGACTGTTGTTTGTGCTTATGGGCCAAATATCAGTTCAGAGTACCCACCCTTTTTGGAGTCCCTGGGAAAAGTGCTAGATAGTGCTCCATCAGGGGACTCCATTGTCCTGCTGGGGGACTTCAATGTTCACGTGGGCAATGACAGCAGGACCTGGAGGGGTGTGATTGGGAGGAACGGCCCGCCTGATCTGAACTCGAGTGGTGTTTCGTTATTGGACTTCTGTGCAAGCCGCAGTTTGGCCATAACGAACACCATGTTCGAACATAAAGATGCCCATCGGTACACTTGGTACCAGGGCAGCCTAGGTCGCAGGTCGATGATAGACTTTGTAGTCGTATCATCTGACCTGCGGCCATATGTTTTGGACACTCGAGTAAAGAGAGGAGCGGAGCTGTCAACTGAACACCACCTGGTGGTGAGTTGGATCAGATGGCAGGGGAAGATGCCCCATAGACCAGGCAGGCCCAAACGCATAGTGAGGGTTTGCTGGGAATGCCTGGCAGAAGAACCTGTCAAGACGGTCTTCAATTCCCACCTCCGGCAGAGCTTTGACCACGTCCCGAGACCAGTGGGGGACATTGACTCTGAGTGGACCTTGTTCCACTCTGCGATTGTTGAGGTGGCTTTTGCTAGCTGTGGTTGCAAGGTGGCTGGTGCCAGTCGTGGTGGCAACCCCCGTACCCGCTGGTGGACACCAGAGGTTTTGGGAGCCGTCAGGCTGAAGAAGGAGGCCTACAGGGCGTGGCTGGTCTGTGGGTCCCCGAAGGCAGCAGACAGGTACCGGATAGCCAAGCGGGGTGCAGCAGTGGCAGTTGCCGAGGCAAAATCTCGGGCATGGGAGGAGTTTGGTGAGGCCATGGAGAAAGACTATCGATCGGCTCCAAAGAGGTACTGGCAAACTGTCTGGCGCCTCAGGAGAGGAAGGCAGCAACTCGCTCACACTGTTTACAGTGGGGATGGGGAGCTGCTGACGTCAACTGGGGCTATAGTCGGATGGTGGAAGGAATGCTTTGAGGAGCTCCTCAATTCCACCTATGTGCATTCCGAGGAGGAACCAGAGCCGGGAGACCTGGGGATGGACTGTCCAATCTCGGGGGCAGAAGTTGCTGAGGTATTCAAACACCTACACAGCGGCGGAGCCCCGGGGGCGGATGAGATTCATCCTGGGTATCTCAAGGCTATGGATGTTGTAGGGCTGTCGTGGTTGACACGTCTTTGCAACATTGCGTGGCCATCGGGGGCAGCCCTGTGGAGTGGCAGATCGGGATGGTGGTCCCCATCTTTAAGAAGGGTGACCTGAGGGTGTGTTCAAACTACAGGGGGATCACACTCCTCAGCCTCCCTGGAAAGGTCTACTCCAAGGTACTGGAGAGGAGGGTCTGAACGATAGTTGAATCTCAGATTGAGGAGGAGCAATGTGGTTTTTGTCCTGGCCGTGGAACTGTGGACCAGCTCTATACCCTTGCAAGGGTGATGGGAGGGCATGGGAGTTTGCACAACCAATCCACATGTGTTTTGTGGATTTGGAGAAGGCTTATGACCGTGTCCCCAGGGGCACCCTGTGGGGGACGCTCCAGGAGTATGGGGTGGGCGGCTTTCTGTTAAGGGCCATTCAGTCCCTTTACCAGAGGAGTGTGAGTTTGGTCCGCTTAGCCGGTAGTAAGTCGGACCTGTTCCCGGTGAGGGTTGGACTCCTCCAGGGCTGCCCTTTGTCACCGGTTCTGTTCATTACCTTTATGGACAGAATTTCTGGGCACAGCCGTGGTGTAGAGTATGTGGAGTTTGGAGGCAGGAAAATCTCGTCTCTGCTTTTTGCGGATGATGTGGTCCTCCTAGCTTCATCCAGCTCTGACCTTCAGCTCTTGCTGGGTAGGTTCGCAGCTGAGTGTGAAGCGGCTGGGATGAGGATCAGCACCTCCAAATCTGAGATCATGGTTCTCGACCGGAAAAGGGTGGCTTGCCAACTCCGGGTCGGGAGAGAGGTCCTACCTCAAGTGGAGGAGTTTAAGTATCTCGGGGTCTTGTTCACGAGTGAGGGTAGGAGGGATCGGGAGATCGACAGGCGGATTGGTTCAGCGTCTGCAGTGATGCGGACCCTGAGCCGATCTGTTGTGGTGAAGAAGAAGCTAAGCCAGAAAGCCAGGCTCTCAATTTACCGGTCGATCTATGTCCCAATCCTCACCTATGGTCATGAGCTTTGGGTAATGACCGAAAGAACGAGATTGCGGATACAAGCGGCCGAAATGAGTTTCCTCTGTAGGGTGGCCGGGCTCAGCCTTAGAGATAGGGTGAGGAGCTTGGACATTTGGGAGGGGCTCGGAGTAGAACCGCTGCTCCTCCTGATCGAAAGGAGTCAGTTGAGGTAGTTTGGGCATCTGGTCAGGATGCCTCCTGGAAGCCTCCCTGGGGAGGTGTTTCGGGCATGTCCTGCCGGCAGGAGGCCCCCGGGTCGACCCAGGACACGTTGGAGAGGTTTTATCTCCAATCTGGTCTGGGAACGCCTTGGGGTCCTGCCGGAGGAACTGGTGGAGGTGGCCAGTGTGAGGATGGTCTGGAGCTCCCTAGTTGGGATGCTGCCCCCACTACCCGGACCCAGATAAGCGGAGGAATACGAAGACGAGACGATGATTTTGGTTTACAGCTGATGAAAACCCCTCATTCCAAATCTCAGACAATTAGACTATTGTGAAAAGTTTTAATATTCTAGACTCAAAGTGTCACACACTAATCAGCTAATTAACCCAGAACGCCTGTTAAGTGTTCCTGAGCCTTTAGAAGGTCTCTCAGTCTAAGATGGATTACTGACATAAATGAACTTTTGCACCATATTCAAATTTTTTCTATTTCACCGGCATGCTTGTCTTGGGTTTGGATTAAATATTTTCGTACAGATGTTGTTTAAAACCTCTGGAAGAATATGTTTGTTTTTTTCTAGGTGAAGTTTTTCCCTCTGAAGCTCAGAAACCCTTTGAGTCAAAGCTACTCTGAAGCTCCTTTTTTTTCCACAGGAGCCTTCTAGTGTTGGTCAGGGACTGGATTTCCTAAAGAGGTCACATCATACAAAGGCCTAATTTACTTAGATAAAGTCAAAGCTGCTGATTCCATGTGTTTGTGATCAGTGGCGCACTATGATGTTCCCTTTAGTTCTCAGGTGTGAGGTGGCAGAAAGGATCACTGGATGATATAATTTCATTTTATGATGCACCAGGTTTCATAAAATAAGATGAAGCTAATAAACGAATGCAGGTTTGCTCATAAAACCAGCTTTAATTTGGGATTTGGCAACAGAACATTTAGTCTGTTTGCACCCTCGTCACTTTTTCAGTATTAATTTAATCCTAAAGTTGCAGCCCTGGTTATTTTCAGTAGTTTTATATCTGTAGTGTTTCTCTGCAGCCTCTCCAGGTGATTCTCTTCCAGCTTTGGTTTGTTGTTTCCTGATGTAAATTCACCGAGAGAACTCATAACATTAACTTAAAAGCATTAAGAGAAACCCTGAGTGGCTGAATGAGTTTCACTGTTCTCAGGCTTACAGATGTTTGTGGATCTGATGGACTCTCCTGTGAGCTGTGTTTGTCTGGAATAGCTCACTTTGATTGTATCTTAATGAAATCACATTAGCCTCCATGGGCTTTTGAGAGGAATCGATACAGGATGGTGGCAATTACAATACCAGGATACGGACCGATGCAGGCATTTAGCCTTTCAGATCCTCAGATCCAAGCCCTGGGGCCTCATTTATCAAGCTTGCTTACGCACAAAATGGGGTCGGAAAACTGCGTAAGCAACTTTTTTTTCCACGCAAACTTTGGGATTTATGAAAGAAAACTTAGCGGAACTTAAAGACCTTCAAGATAATTATTTAATAATAAATGAGAAAACATGAAAGTTTAAGTAAAAAGTAACTAACCAAACCACAAATTTATGAAAAATTATACAGGATTAACAGTGTATGATTTTTTTAGTTAATTTTTAACTT